TCAAAAATCGAATTTATCAACGTTTTTGATTTCAATCCTTGAAATCATATTATGATTTTTTATAGGTTTATTTTTGATGTTAGTTTGTTAGTAATTATTTTTAAAGTTTAATAAAGAAAATTCTTTACGCTTCTTTATAAATGATATTAATTAAAACCAAACAATTATCATGCATTTTATTTATAAGTTAGGGATGTTCTATTAATATTTTTAGTTTTAATGTTTTATATTAAATGTATATTTCTCAGATTCATTAATAATAATAAAATTTAAAAATTAATCAAAGTACAACTTTTTTAATTAAATCCTTGTGATCAAGAATAATTAGTTTGATTTCCATCCATAATTTAAGTGGAATAAAATGTAATTCATTAAATATTTTAAACAGTAAATAACTTCTATTAAAATTCAATTTATATATATTATAGTTTGTTAACTTAGTTATTCTCGGAAAAACCATGAAGGTAAATTATTTAAAAAATTAGAGGAATTTATTAATCAAATATTTTATCAAATATATAAAGAATATAAAGGAAATAATAACTAATATTGATAAAAACAATAAATAGATAGTAGAAACGATTTTTGAAATTGTTATAATTATCTTAACATCAACAAAGCATTATATGTAAGATTAAAATTGGAATCAGAGATGAAGTTTATATTTTCTGCAAATACTGGAATTTATGGATACTATAAAGATTTTTGGGAAATATAATATATAAAATATTCCTTATTGGAAAGTTACTCTACTTAATTAAAGAAGCAAAATAAAAGTTGAAAAATATTATTATTATATATTATTATTAGTCGTTAGTCGTTACTTTATTAACTCTCCTTCATAAATATCTAATTATATAATATTCCTTATATTTTCTATTCTATTTAGTTCTGTATTTCAATAATGGGTTAAACTTATCATACTGAAATAATTTTTTCTAATATGTTTTTATTATGGATATATGGTCGGGAAAATTTGGATGAAATAATTATTAAGTTTATATATTGAATTTTAAAAGACTTTAGCCAACAAATCATAATAACGATTATTGTCCCTAGAAATCTAGACTTATATTTATAGAGATATTTTGGTCAAACTAAAATCATTTTTAATCTTTTTTTACAGCAAACTTATTAAAGCAAAAAATTTCTAGGAAATGAAAATTTAGTTGTAATCAAAAACATGTTATTTTTGATAATTCTGAAGCAAAAGAGTATTAGAGAAACTTATAACTTCTAAACAAAAACATGATATCTGTTTTCCTTTATCCTTTATTGAGTCTGCACAAATCATACTTATAATTTTCATTTCAATTTGAGGAAATTCTCTTTGGCTTTTGGTTTCGAATGTTTATACTTGATTTGAAATAAAATTTAAGTCTTATTTGAGAACATATATTTGATACTTAATAATAAATTAATACAATAATACTGTAATCTTCCTTTTTCAGGCTCCAAAAAAATAAGCTTTTAAACTTATATTAGCTTATTTATAAATTTTTTAAATTAATTTATAATAGATTATTATATGACATGAAAATATTTAATTGTGAATTTATATATTTAGTTTATCTCTTTCTGATTAATCATATCTCATCTCTCATTAATAAAGTAACATATTCACATTTTTTAAAATTTTAATTCTTTGCGCATCATTAACCATCTCAACCTTTTTTTCATATATATATATATAAACCAATATTAATGATTTAATTTTTTCTATAATTTTAGAGATTTGAATTACTCAGAATAACTTTCACTTAACTCTTTCCATTTTCCTATCTTTGTTTCAGTTTCTTAAAAATACCTCCCACCAACATTCTACATAATTTCTCCTTTCCAAGTTGTTATCCATCCATGTTCCAATTTAAATTATATTCTCTCAATATTCTCTTTGCTAGTGAAGGTATTTAATTTATTCTAATATTCAGTATCTCAAGTTTCTTTGATACATCCTGATACATCCTTAAGATTTATCCTTCCATTGTTGTATTTTTATTTTTTAGTTTTCATTTTTGATGACTTTGAATTAAGTTCTCAAAAAGCGAGG